TCTCCTGGATTCTTCTCTCCCAATAAATCTCTTCAATGAGGTTTGGGTGAAGACCTTCTTTCACTGGAGTGGAGCAGAGAGAGGACCCCTCACTCCACAGGCAGAAGTCTTAACTGTAGCCTCCAAGGTGTAGCATGGGAGGGATGAAAAAGCCCCCAAACAAAACTACCTGATGATGGCTAAGGCCTCTCAGCTGGCCAGAGCAAAAGCCCAGCCTCCCTAGCCTCCCAAAGGCTGAGAACATCCACATCCCTGTTTCAAATGCAGTCAGGAGGGTCACTGGGCCCAGGCCTGTCCAAACCCTCATAAACCACCTCGGACCATGTCCAGGGTGACATCAAGAAGGACATTGGTGTGTTGATTGTCCTCACGTCCCTTGTGGCATGAGGACATCAAGCCCAGATCGCCCTTCATCTGACCTCCTTAGTCCAGTCATGAGGGGGCCCAGACTTCCTTGGCCTGACGACTACCATCTCCAACAGGGAGGCTTGGGTAGTCACCACAGTATCAAGGTGATCCATCTTCTGCCTTCTTGACACTGGAGATACTTTTTCAGTCCTGACTAAGTCCTGGGGACCCACCTCTCCTTCTCATTCCTCTATTGTTGGAGTAGGCAGACAGCCAGGCTTACCAGGCTCACCAAACCCCAGCACTTAGCTGTATCTTTAGGGATATTCCCCTTACCCATTGCTTCCTAATTGTGCCAACCTGTCCCATCCTCTTGCTGGGAAGGGACCTCCTAGCCAAAGTGGGAGGATCTATTTCTCTTGCTGTCCACATCTGATTGACCCCAGGCTCACCAGCCATTCCCCTTCTCCTTCTTCAAACCACACAATCTGACACATCTCCTCACTTGCCAGCCTCTCAGACAGATCCCCAGGTATGGGACACTCAAAACCTCTCTATAGCCAAACATCACCCACTTCTCATCATTCAACTACAAAACCCCACCAAATATATAACCCAGACTCAGTACCCCCGCTCTCCCTTCAAAGCCTCAGAGGACTTAACCCTTCCATCTCTGATCTATTAAGAAAGACTCAGGCTGGGCGGTGGTGGTGCACGCCTTTAATCCCAGCACTTGGAAGGCAGAGGCAGGCACATCTCTGTGAGTTCGAGACCAGCCTAGGCTACAGAGTGAGTTCCAGGAAAGGTTCCAAAGCTACACAGAGAACCCCTGTCTCAAAAAAAACAAAAAGAAAAAAAAAGAAAAAGAAAAGAAAGAAAGACTCTTCTGCACCCCACTTTTTCCCCCTTTAATACCCCTATCCTTGCAGTTAAAAAACTAATGGAACTTACCACTTGGTTCAGGATCTTCAACTTATCAACTCTACAGTAGTCTCCTTCATCCCATAGTACCCAATCCCTGTACTCCCCTCTCCACCATCCCCTCAGAGACCACTCATTTCTCTGTCCTAGATCTCAAGGATGCCTTCTTTTCTATTCCTCTGGATCCCCAGTCACAAAATATCTTTGCCTTTACTTGGACTGACCCAGACACCCACATCTCTAACCAACTCACTTGGACTGCCTACCCCAGGGATTCCAGGACAGCCCACATTTAATTGGCCAGGCTCTAGCTTCTGACTTACTCTCTTTGTCTCTTCCTAAATCCAAACTCATACAATATGTAGATGATCTTCTCCTTTGTGGTCTGTCCCTGCAAATTAGCCAGGCAGACACCTCTACCTTATTAAACTTCCTGCCCAGTCGGGGATATAGGGTCTTACCCTCTAGGGTCCAGCTGTCCACTCCTCAGGTAACTTATCTGGGATTAGCTATTACTCCAACTCATAAGATAGAAAACACTTACTTCAGTCACTCACAGTCCTCACCACCAAGGATGAAATCCTATCCTTCCCAGGATGGCTAGCTTCTTACACTCTTGGATTCCTTCTTTCTCTTTTCTTGCTCATCCCCTATATAAGGCAGTCCTCAGCCCCTCACTCCTCCCCTATATAAGGCAGCCCTCGGCCCCTCACATGAACCTCTTCTGGAACCCCTTACTAAGCCATTTTGTAAGTTTCAACAGGCCTTCTTACAGGCTCCGGCCCTATATCTTCTGAACTTAACTCGCCCCTTCTCTCTCTGTTACTGAAAAAGAGGGATATGCCCTCAGGGTTCTGGGTCACCAACTGGGACCTTCCTTTGCGTCCATCACGTACTTATCAAAAAATTAGACCACACTATCCAAGGTTGGGCACTTCATCTGTGAGCTCTGGCTGCAGCTGAACTTCTCATAAGTGACTCAAAGAAGGTAACCTTTAGGTCACCTATTACTGTCCTCTATCCTCACCACCTGTCCCACTTTGAATATACTGGAGTCTCCAAACATTACCCCCTCCCAAGTTCTCTCCCTTCAGGTAGCATTGGTAGAGAACACAACACTTACCTTTTAGCCATGTCCACCTCTTAACATTTCAAATCTCCTGCCCCAACCAATCCCAGAATACTCCCCACCTCATTCTTGCATTGAGACCCTCATCTTATGCATATCCATGAGGGAATGCTACTCAGGCTACCTATACATGATACACAGATGGCAGCTCCTTCCTAAATGAAGGAGTACACAAAGCAGAATATGCTAATGTCTTAGACACCAGAGCTGTTGAGGCACAGACCCTTCTAGCCCAAACCACACACTAGCAGGCTGAATTAACAGCTCTAACTCATGTCTTTCAACTAGCAAAGGGACAGTTCCTAAACCTTTATACAGACTGCAGGTCTGTTTTTCACATTCTCTTATCACATACAGCTATTTGGAAGGAGTGTGGGCTACTAACGACACAAGGAGAGTCCATAACCAATTCAGACCAAATTATGGCCTTGTTAGAGGCCTCTCACCTTCCCATAGCTATAAGAATTATCCACTGCCAGTCATATCAAGTGAACAATTCTATTATTTCCAAGGGAAATAACCAGGCTAACGAGGCAGCTAGAGCTGAAGTTCTCAAGTGCCTGGGTCCCCCTCACACAACACAAGGCACTCTCATTTTACAACCTACATTTTCATTACCATCCCCAGATATTCAACAAATTCTATCCTGTCTTCACCAGATCTTTCACTATAATAGCCAGGCTGTGTCTCACTTTATTAAAACCTATTTACAGCTAACATCTGAGGATCTACCCTATCTAAAGACTATCACTGTTTTTTGTAAAAAATGTCAAACTTCTAGTCCTACCTCCGAGCATTGGAATTTCCCTTTCCCCATTCATCAAGCCATGGATTGGACTGGCAGCATGACTTCACCCACATGCCCAGTTAGATATTTCAGATACCTTTTTGTTCTTGTAGATACATTCTCAGGATGGATAGAAGCTTACCCTACCTAATAAAAGATCACAGACAATTTCTGATCTCCTCTTTAGGGAGACTGCCCACCCCCCCCCCTCCACCACCACCCCTCACCCCTGTTTTGGAGTTCCAACCTCCCTTCAATCAGATGATGGCCCTGAATTTACCTCTCAAATCTCACAAACTTTAGCCAAAGTCCTTAACATCCCCTGGTGTTTCCATATCCCCTACCATCCCCAGTCTTCAGGCAAGGTCGAATGAACTCACTGTTCTCTCAAAAATATTCTTATCAGACTCTCCCAAGAACTCCATACTGATTGGATGAAACTCCTGCCATTGGCTCTCCTGCAACTAAGAGCTCTTCCAAGGAAACCCTCCTCATCTCCCCTTTTGAACTCATGCATGGATGGCCAATTATGCCTCCTGACCTCACATCTCAGCCATCACCTCTCCCTGATCACCTTCTTACCTTCATGTTACTCTGTCTTTACACTCTTCTTTGGATCTTCACCCACCATCATTTGCCTCAACCCCATCCTGATCCCCTTCCCTCTGCAATCAACATCAGGGACTATGTTCTACTCTCTCCTCCAGGACACAATCCCCTTCCTCTTTCTCCAGAATGGACAAGCCCCTTCAAGGTCATCCTTAACTACCCCAACTGCCACTAAGCTCAAGGGTTTCCTTCACTGGATCCATCTTTCTCATCTCAAACCTTTAATACCATCGACTCAACATAATCCTCCCTCTTACATTTCAATCCCAATAGGACCTTGCTCTCTTAAGTTTCAGAAGATACCAAGGTCAGCTAGCTTGCCTCCTGTCTCTGAAGAATGAGACCTCACACCTCTGCCAAGACCCAAGCCTGACTCTATTAGGTCATGCCCTACTTCTTCTACTTCCTCTTGCTCAATACCTATCAGTAGCAAATTCTATCTATGGAAATTTGAGGTTCAGGAAATCTATATCCAGCGATTCAACCAGACCACTCACATGGTGGGGTCTGGAGACTGGTTGCCAAAAGGAGATACTTATCCCTGTAACACCTAAATCCATTTCTAAAACACCTGTCCCTTGTGCTTGTCTTCTCTATGATCAAACTGGAGATTACTGTCAACGCTGACCAGAAACCTATGGAGGCTACCCTTATTGTCCTGTAGGACACACAATGCATATTCAGAAAGGCATTCTATCTTTTATGCAGAATGGGGATTTTTTTTATATATTCTAATTAAATACCCATGGCACCCCAGATGGGGGACTGAGGAGCCTGAAGGTTAGCATTGACTTTGGGCATGCACCATAGGTACTTGTCAGCAGGGAGCCAGGCGCCAGGGGAAGGGGAGATAGGGAGATGGCTCTTCCTGGCAGACAGAAATCCATTTCACAGGTTCCTGAGGAATGCTGGAAGTATCTGCCAGCAATCCTTCCATTTTTCCTGCCAGCATCCAGCCCAATATTACCTCATTTCTCTGACTAAATTCCATAGGATACCATTCTTCTTCCCTGAACCCTGAGCCCCAACCACACTAAGCTGTTAATGGACTTCTTTATATCTCCTGCAACTTCACAAGGATGATCCCAAACTATCCCTCCCCCTGCCCCCACCTCCTAAGTGTGGGACCGTAGGTGTGCACCACCATGCCATTTCACTATCATTTTTTTAGACCACACCTGATAAAGTAATACATAGAAGCAGCAACAGCATTTACAACAAATGTATTTTAAGATATTTGTTGGCATCAGGCAACACACAGTATTGGTAGATACTGAAAACAAATGCACAAATTGTATTTAACAAAGGCAACCATTTTTAGTATCCTGATTTATGTCGAATGTTTTTGGACTACACCAATTCCAACTTCCAAAGCAAAATAGAAAATCATTAGTAGATCTTTAATTGCAAATTGAATTTCCTTTATAAACCTCTATATTATGAATGAAATGCTCTAACAGAAAATCATGTTGGCTTTTGCTCTTGCACTAAACGACGACGATTCCTATCAGGCAGACAGGTTGTGGTCTTGCATTTGCTTGCACGTTGGGATGCTGTAGGAAAGCAGTAAGCAGAGCCTTTGCCGTTGCCGAGGCCGTCCGTCAGGGCAGTAGCCTTTGGAGACTGTCTCCTTCAGTCATCTCCTCCACAGATCTTCAAGAGCACGGTTCTGTAGTCTCCAGAAGTATCTGACTGTAGAGGGCAGGACCAACAGAGAAGAACATACCATAAATAATGAGGGGATTAGGGTGAATCAGACCCCACAGTGCTGGGGAAGTCATTTGGGCAGAAGATGTGCGAGCCGCACTGTTCAGTACAGCACGCCTTCACTGCTGTCATTCTTTCATACTCGAGTGCCATTATGCTCCTACCTAGCATGTTCTCTGCACTACATAATGTTCAAATCCTCCTGAATTTCAACTAGGACTTTAAAAAAACCCCAAGATTTCAACCACTAGGTATTACATATTAGGTGCTAACAAAACCTCTAAAAACTATAGTTTAGGCCGGGCGGTGGTGGCGCACGCCTTTAATCCCAGCACTCGGGAGGCAGAGGCAGGCGGATCTCTGTGAGTTCAAGGCAAGCCTGGTCTCCAAAGCGAGTTCCAGGAAAGGCACAAAGTTACACAGAGAAACCTTGTCTTGAAAAACCAAAAATAAATAAATAAATAAATAAATAAATAAATAAATAAAAAAAATAAAAACTATAGTTTAATAACAATTAATGTTAATCTGGCATGCCTATTTGTAACTCAAAAACTTACCATGGGGAACTACAGGTGTCACTCAATGGTCTACAGTGTGCTTATTATGCATAAGGTCCTGGGTCAAATTTCCAATATAAAAAGCTTAAAGGAAAAGTTTATTTTGTATTAACTATTGCAAACCTTATAAAAATTCTATGCAGCAGAGTATGAACTCTCCTTATCTCCATGTAATAATTAAGTGAGAAATACAGAGGGTAAGAAAAGTGCCCTCAAATCAGAGAGCCTGGCCCCTCATTCCCGCTGTGTAGTAGTTTGTTCAAAGATTCTAACATTTCATCCAGTAGGGAAGCTCCTTAAGCTGAAAGATAAACAACTCAAAAAAGCTTCAGGAAGTCCCTGAAGCTGACCAGATTCACTAGTCTCCTGCTTTCCAGAGCAAGCCATAAAAGGTGAGAGTCCCTCTTAGACATGCCAAGCTGCAAAGACTATGAGACCAGATCAACTGCCTGGGAGAAGCAATAACCAGCTGAGCTGCCTGCAAGATTTAGGCCAGAGTCACCTGAAAAGATCACTCTCCAACCTGTTGAGCTGCCTACAGGCTGTACAGTGTGCACCAGGTTCCCAGCTTTTAAGAGCTGTCACCCATGCTGCGGTTGGCCTTGGTAAAGCTGTCTTTGAGTCATTTCTGATTCTGTAAGTAACCCCTCACTCACATTCCTGTAAGTAACCCCAGTAAAGCTCATTGGTTCACCAATTTGGACTTTGGTGGTATCCATACTTTGGTCCATCATAGGATTCCTATCTGGGGTGAGAAGGCATGTGTTGTGTTTCCCAAAGAAAAGTTTTGTCACATAACAGTGTAGCACGAATCTTAAAAGATCTGCCGGGCGGTGGTGGTGCACGCCTTTAATCCCAGCACTCGGGAGGCAGAGGCAGGCGGATCTCTGTGAGTTCGAGGCCAGCCTGGACTACAGAGTGAGTTCCAGGAAAGGCGCAAAGCTACACAGAGAAACCCTGTCTCGAAAACCAAAAAAAAAAAAAAAAGATCTTATTAATAAAAACAAACATGGAGCCAGGTATTGGGGTGAATGCTGAAAGATCAGAGAGACAGAACAAGCCACAGCTAACTTCACTTCGCCAAGTTCTCAGCTAATTCTGTTTCCTCAAACTGGAAGCTTCTGAGTCCTCATCTGGAATGAATCTCAGCTGAACTGCTGATAAAAGCCTGAAAGCTTAACCAGGCTCTAGTTCCTGGTTTTCATACCTTATACACCTTTCTTCTTCCTGTCATCACTCCCTGGGATTAAAGGCGTGTGTCACCATGCCTGGCTGTTTCCAGTGTGGCTTTGAACTCACAGAGATCTGGATGGATCTGCCTCCAGAATGCTAGGATTAAAGGTGCGTGCGCCACCATTTTCTGGCCTCTATATCTAGTGGCTGTTCTGTTCTCTGACCCCAGATAATTTTATTAGTGTTCACAATATTTTGGGGGACACAATATCACCACATAACAGCTCTACTCTGCATTGGTGAGATAAGCAACAGCCCTGAGAGGAGGTTTAGCAGGCCCTAAGCCAGCAGAGAAAGGTTCTGGTTGAGAAGACAACCATGCCAGCTGAAGGGGTTAGTGCCCAGGGGCCACTTGGTCTCTGCAAAAGGTAGCACTAGAGGCAAAACTCCGCTTTTTACCCAGATTGCCTTAAAACTTCATATTTGTTTCTATTTTGTTTGAGTAACCTGGTCGGTGATCACGTCTTATCACTTAAGTTTATATTTGGAAAGGTGCAGCTAGGGTAGATATTAGAGTAAGGTCAAGTGAGTAAGGAAAAGTCGCTGAGTGGAGATGGTGGACATAGTGTCATAGTAGGAGACACAACAGAATTAATACCCACGCTGTCATTGATGCAGGTGATGGAAATAATGCTTCCCCCGTCTTGCTTTGCTATTTGCAACCTTCTTTCAAACTGTTGGCAATCAGCTGCACTCTAGCTTTGTATTTAAAAAGGGCCTTCCAGTCGCTCTGAGCAGAGCTGTACACAATCGCTGGGGTTTGACTGGTCAAGAAAAGCCGTTCCGCTATGGGACGGCTCATCAGGTAAAGGTGCCTGCCACCAAGCTGGCTGATCTGAGTTTAATCCCCAGAATGCACAGAGAACTGCTTCCACACGTTGTGCGTACACACACACACACACACACACACACACACACACACACACACACACACATAAATAAATGAAAAGCTTACAACAGGACTGTGATCTGCTACAAGGACCTAACAAACACTTGTCCTGCCTCTTGCCTGTTACCCCTCTAGATGATAGTCTATTTATACTGCATTTTCGAAATGCTGTTTCACAAAATGTTTTGCTAGGTTAAAAAGAACTTTGTGCATCATTCCTGATTACATCTTATTTATTGTTCTTAAGAGTCAGGTATGGAACTGGGTGTAGTGACATATACCTTTAATCCTATCACTCCAGAGGCAGAGGCAGGTGGATCTCTGTGAGTTTGAGGCCAGCCTGGTCTACATAGTGAGTTCCAGGACAGCCAGGACCACATAGAAAGACTTTGTCTCAAAGAGTCAGGTATGGTGGCATATCCCTGTAATCCCAGCATGTTGCAGGCAAAAGTAAGAGGATCGGGAGTTTAAGGTTACTTGTGGCTACATATCCAGTTCAGGGCCAGCCTGGGCTACATGAGAGAGCCCGTCTCAATCATCTCTCCCCCCAAAAAATTCTTCTTAAGAAAGGAACAAAATACTCCATTGACTGCTGCTAACACTCTCCATAGTTCTCTCTCCTCCCAACTTCTTCCCACATTTTACCCTGACATTTTATCAGGACAGACAATTGCTCCTTTATAACAGTGTTTTTCAAGTCACTACAGATGGAGTCTAGGCTCTTGTCTCTTGCTACTGGTGTGACTATAAATTTATCAATCTAAGTACCCAAGCCATTAATTCTTAGTGTTTTGTAAATCATGCCCAACACCCATCCTACCCCTCTATGGTACAGTCATTTCCTATCCCTTAGCTTACATTCTGTCAGTAGGATACAGCATCTTCTTCATTCAGCCTCCTGGAACATGCTCTTCCCTGGACTTCCATTGCACCCCTCAGCCCGAAGCTTCTCCCTCCCCACCCTCATCCTCTCACTATAGAGACATTATATAGTAACGATGGGTAAAACTCAACTCTAAGCTCTCTTTTCTTCACTCCATATTTTCTCTCTAAGGTATTGCAACCCTTATTCAGAGATTCAGAAACATGACTGTTGCAGTTTGAATATGGAATGTCCTCCATAGGCTCCTGTGTTTAACACCTGGTGCCCAGATGGTGGCGCTGTTTGGAGACGTTATAGAACCTTTCGGAGGTAGAGCCTTGCTGGAGGAAGTATGTCAGTGGGGGATGAGCTTTTAGTTTAGGTTTTTTTTTTTTTTTCTATCTTGGCCTCACTTACTGTTCTCTTTCTGAATACAGATGACCATGATCAACCAGCTTCCTGCTCCTGCTACCCACCTCCCACTGCCTGTTGCCAGTCTTCCATGCCATGATGGATTCTTTTTCTCTTTTAAACTGTAAGCCAAAAGTGAACTCTTTATCCCTTAGGTTGGTTGGTTGGCTATTTATATAGAGTTCTCACTGTGCAGCTCTAGGTGGCCTGGAACTTGCTATGTAGATGAGGCTGGCCTTAAACTCATAGAGTGCAGGAGTTAAAGGCATGTGCCACTATGCCTGACTGCTGAAGTTAATTTTATCAGGGTGTTTATAACAGCAACAGAAGGTACCTAGGACACTGACTTTCACAACGTACCCATAGCAGCAACAGTTTCACTGAACTCTTTGAGTACTGGCTCCTAACACATCCCAAACTCAAAACCTGCAAGACCAGGAACTTCCTCACACTGTCCCAAAGAAAGACATCCTAAGATTCGACCCTCCTGTCGGAAATGGCATTCTTGCTCTTTCCCAAGAGAGAATCCTGTGAGTCAACCTTGACACTTTCTCCTCACTTCTCATAGCAAATCCCAGGACCTCCTGAGCCTCTGCTCTGGGCTCTCTTCGGATGGCTACCAACCCACTCACATGCTCTCCAGTGGGCCTGTGTCTCAACCACCTAACTCACCACTCCATGTCTCTCCTGGTGTCTGTCTGTCATTCTTCACAGTCACCAGAATCTTTTTAATGACCAAGGAACTCTTATGTAACATTTTCATTGACTTCACAATCCCGTGTACTATTTAAATGGTGCCAGAGAATTCCTGCATGGGCTAGCCCCTCTACCCTGTTTTCATTGTTTCTTCTACCCCAAGATCTTTCCATTTGCAGTTCCCTCCTTAGAATGCTTAACCAGCTCCACACAGGCACAGCCTTCTGCTTGCTCATGCCTGCTTACTTTCTAGATCAGAACCATCCTTTCCCCACAGACGCTTTTCCTGGCAGTCAGGCCCTCCTGTTATCTGATCTCTTAGTACCATGTCTCTCACCCTCACAGGAAAGGAGTCATTTTTACACATATTTGTAATTTTCATAGGAGCAAAATTCTTTCCACTTATAACTTTAGCCCTGAGTCTGGCACATGGCATTCACTTAATAAATATTTGTGATTAGCTGACTACAGCACAAATTCTCCAACTCTGAATCTCTGGGTGAACTCACTTCACTCTTTAAGGCCTGAGTATTCCCTGAAGCAGATTTTTTTTTTAAGTAAGCAATTGACTTGAGGTTTCTTTTCCTTCCACCACTTACCAGGAGTCTGTTTCTAGGATGCACCTTAGGAGTCTGTTGAGCATAAGAATTCCAGAGGAGGCACCCAGTTCCTATTGTGGACCTGATAGGCAGACTCAGGACCTGTTGCTCTGAGAAATATTCCTTTCCAATCCCACAATGTCTTTTCTGTTAAGTCCTGTGTCTCCATCCTCCATCCCAAACGTCTAGGACTTGACTAGATTATGTTGTTCCAATTATCGTATATGCTAATGCCTACTTCAAGCCTTCATATGGGGTCTATATTATAGACTATGAGATTACTTAGGGTAGCAACATATTGCCCTTACAGAGCACTTTTTATTACTGACCTAACAAAAATGTAGTCTCATCTAAATTTTCATTAATATCTTTTTTATACAGGGCCTCACTATGTAGTATAAGCTGGCCTCACACCAGAAATCCTCCTGCCTTAGCCACTCCCAAACTGCAGGTGTCATCGGTATGTGTCATCATACCTGAATCATCGTTTTTTTAAACCTATGCTCTTCCCTCCCTTCTCCTCACCAGTCATCACCCATGAGGGGGTCAACAAGAGATCAAATGTCTGAATAATCGGAGAAAGTAGAGGACCGGAGAGTCAAAGCCTGGGAGGTCCACAACATGGAATTCTAACTCCTGAGTTTCAGAAACAACCATCTTTAACGATCCCGCTGGCTGGGATGAGATAACCTGACGACGTGGGTAGGAGGTAGAGGGAAATTTCCCATCACAAACTGGACTCTTCAGTGATGGATTTTTCTTTTTATCAGACTACAAATAGTTTAAATGTTTCCTAACATAATGAGTCTCCATTACGCAGACCACTGGGGGATGGAGAGCCACAGCTTAATCAGATTTTCTGGTTGGCTGAGGGTGAAGCAAAAGCCCCAGAGTGCGTCAACCTTGTTACTGACAATTGTTATAAAACTTATGAGTCTGCCTTTCTGCCTTGGCAAGTACAATGCGGTTAACGTTATTGAATCTTCCTATGATGATTGAAACTATTGTAATGTGTCAGGATCAATTCAAATAGAATCGAGTGTGGGCTGCTGACGAAATCCATGCTAAGCCCTAGGAAGAGCCTGGTGCTCTTTTGGATTGGTTAGGATTTCAACTTACCCATGCATCTTTCTCTGTCAAAGTTTAGCGTGCAAACAAAGGCTCTGGTTTGAAAAGCACAAAGGAATTTGGTGAGCAAATCTAGCTGACTGGTTGAGGTGAATGCATTTATTCATTCGTCTAAAAAAAAAAAAAATCATTTGTGGGCCCTGAGGCTGGAATGCTCCCAAGGTGCTCAGAGACACCCAGGCCAGTATCTGTGCCTGGTTAAGGGTGTCTATCATGGGTAGGGCTGCATTGTGGGTAAGAGGACAAACTCCCACTACCCAGTGTGACACAGGAACGTGGCCTACACCAGGCATTCCCAGTCGCCATGGCTAGGCATCCCTAGGATCAGAGTTTCAGAGTCCTAGGGGCTAGAGGAGTAGATCCTGCCAAGAATCAGGATCTGCACAGTGTAAATAATCCTGCAGCTGGCCTGGGGTGTATGCGTCCATCTTGGTACTCTCAACACTTCCTGCTGGCTGCTGGTCGATATCCCATTTGTCCTGGCCCCTCTGGGCTCTGGGAGCTGGTTCTCAGCAGGCACTAGCCTGGGACTCTAAACCTGATTTTCCTGAGAAAGTTTGCAGAGTATCTAAGAACTCAGAGGTAAAAGAGTCATATAGCCTGTGGGGCCCTTGTAGAACCAGCCCCAGAATCCACCTTTGCACCTAGTCAATGTGGTATGGGGTGACTGGGATGCTTAGATAGCCTCACTTAACCTCAGCGCCCATATTGACTTAGGGAACCAGTCTGGATTAATTCTCTTAATTATCAAAGATTTTTGTGTGTCCTCTGGGGGCTAAGGTGAAACAAAACAAAGCAAAACAAAATAAAACAAACAAAAAACCAACAGAATACTGCTAGGAAGACCTAGAGCTAGTTCCTTAGCATTTATTAGCTAGCTGGTATATTTCTATTTCAGCTATTTTTTTTTCTGGTTTTTCCGAGACAGGGTTTCTCTGTGTAGCTTTGCGCCTTTCCCGGAACTCGCTCGGTAGTCCAGGCTGGCCTCGAACTCACAGAGATCCGGCTGCCTCTGCCTCCCAAGTACTGGGATTAAAGGCATGCGCCACCACTGCCCGGCTCTCAGCTATGACTTTTGAAGCATGAGATTTTTATGGTATAGAAGCTTCTTGAACAATTTTGTCAGTCTTGCTTCCTTAATAGTTCTTAATTTATTACATACATATGTGTGTACACTGAGACCTAATAACAGTGACCACTGGTTCACTCCTTAAACAGACAGGAAGGAGTAGTGAACACTTTAGAAATATTCTCATCCAGAATGACAGAAACAATGGGTTAAAAATAAGAAACTATAAAGATCGATAAATTCAATTACATATCAAATAAAAGTTCTGTTTGGGAAAAAAAAAATGCTATTAGCCAAGGCAAAAAGTCATGGGGAAATCTTTGTAATGAGATGAAAAAGCTAATCTGCTTTGTGTGAAAGGAGGTCTTAGAAGTTAGCAGAAAGCAACAGAGACCCAAAAGAAGAGTGAGTCCCAAACCCAGAAAGAGACAGCCCAGTAAAAATAAATAAAAATGGCATTAAAAATGTGAAAATACAGTCATTTGTAACCGTTACCTATCAGATTGTAGAAATACAAAAGAGTTGTTTGTGAGTAGAAAACAGCCCTCTGTTCCGAGGAGCTGATGAAAATAAGGAAATGGGAGTCAAGAAGTGGTCATATTTACCAAATTTTAAAAATAGTTTTTTAATCTGTCTCAGCTATATATCTCTCTCCCCCAACACTTGTATCACATGAAATTGGGTATGTACACAGAAGCACTAAGTTGAATAGCCAGGAACTGTAAACATCTGTTGATATTATTGGAATAAAAATGGAATGATATACATCTACTAAAAATGAGAAACCTTCCTCACACTGCAATGAAAAGAACTGACGATACAGAACCCACTGTCACTTGTGTGCAACAGAGGACTTCTTCTTCTTCTTCTTCTTTTCTTCTTCTTCTTCTTCTTCTTCTTCTTCTTCTTCTTCTTCTTCTTCTTCTTCTTCTTCTTCTTCTTTCTCTTCTCCTCCCCTCCTCCTCCTTATTATTATCAGTAGTATTATTTTTAATTTATCTTTGCTGTGGTAGAGATCAAACCTACGGCCTTGCACATGCTAGGTAAATGTTTACTACTGACCTACATGCCTAGTTCACTAAAGGAAAATTTAAAATCTGTGCTTTTCTTTCCTTACTTTGCCACAAATGCTGAAATAATTGTTTAAAAACATTGCAGTGTAAACAATAGACAACCAATTTATACATGCATTTTTCAAAAGAAAATTTTCTGACCAACAAGCCTTTAAAAAGATGACTCACTATTACAGTCTTAGTGTTTGAGAGCTGGAAAACAGTCATAGTTTTTAACAAACATATTTTTATTTCTATTTCTTTCTAATTTTATGTGCGTGAGTGGTTTGCCTACATGAGTTTGTTACCATGTGCATACAGTGCCCACAGAAGCCAGAAAAGAGTGTCAGATCCTCTGGAACTGGAGTTGTGGATGGTTGCCATGTGGGTGCTAGGGACCAAATCCAGGTCTTTTGCAAGAGTGAGCACTCTTAACCACTGAGCTATCTCTTCAGTCCCCAGTCCCCACCCTTAAGGGATGTTTTGGCATAACTATTTTAAACTCAGGAAACACAATGACAAAGAGAGAGAAATCTAATCAGATCTACCTGTGTTTTAAGGACTGCAAAAGAAATATTGTGAGCAGAGCAAGGGGAACCATGCCTTGCTATTTCCAGAGGAGACTTACTTGAATGGCTGAGTATAGAGAGTAGCCATAATTTTTCTTGAACTCATGTCGGATGTCCAGAAGGTCAGTCTCCGATCTGGAAACCATTATTCTGTTGAGAGTGAATTCATCCGTTCCAGCACCCTGGGACAAAAGGGCCATGAGAATCTCACTGGTTGCACAATGACATACAGATATTCAGTTACAAGAGACAAGTAATTGTGCACAAAATACTCAACTACAGTAACTCCTCTTCACTCATTTAGCGCCAAACTCCACCATTCATTTATTAAAGAAATGTGCCTTGAGCCCCTGTAATGAGGGGCTGTGAAGAACATAGAGAAGACATCCCCGGTGAGCCTCCAATGCTGTAAAGGATACAGACCAGAAAACAAGCCACCGGCAATTAATCTGACACAAATCCCAGCATGGTGGGGGGGAGCGGGGTGGACACAAAGTTCCACCCCTAGCTTGGAGCTCTTGGTAACTGTTAACTGCTGGGAGAGGCAGGGTCAGTTTTCTCTAAAAATATAGCCCCTGCTAAGCTGACCACACTCCAGTGGGAGGATGCACATGCACGAATAGTTGGGCCACTCAAATAGACCTTAATCAGGAAAAAAAGGGGGTACACCAAGTTGGGTGGAGAGGGAAGGGGAGTGGATCTGGGAAGAGCTGGGGTTGGGAGGGTGAATATGAGCCAAACATAGTCCAAAATTCTCTATGAACTAATGAAAGTATTAAATAAAAGGTAACTATAATTAGTCTGACAGATGAGAGATATTGGGTTCAATAGAGGTGTGTTATAGCGGAGCCTGGGAAAGACTATAGGTTAGGAAAGGTCTGCCCAAGAAAGTGGCATACATGCTGAAGCCTAAATGATCAGCTGGGGGTATGCTGGACACATGCCCAGTTCAGGTGTGAGGCACACCTGTAACCACAGCCCTGGAGAGACTGGGGCAGAGGCATCAAGGCACACATAACACATGCATCAGGGAAGGATTTGTATAGGAAGCAAAAAATGCTCTAGTAAAAGACCCCCCCATCTGTGTGTGTGTGTGTGTGTGTGTGTGTGTGTGTGTGTGTGTGCGTGCATGCGTGCATGCGTGTGTGTGTGTGTGCGCGCGCGCGTGCATGCGTGCATGCGTGCATGCGTGCGTGTGTGTGTGTGTGTGTGTGTGTGTGTGTGTGTGTGTGTGAAGTGGATGAAAGTTAGGACAAGAAAGAATGCCACCTCTAAGGATATACAGATAATGAGCAACGACAAATGATGCGCCTTGAGAATCTAGACCTTGCTAACCATGACATAAAATTCTAACTGTATCTCACATACACAGAACTATTGCAAAATTTTAAACTAAGAATGCTGAGATGAGATCTTATTTGTGGCTGTTTTCAAGACAGCCAGTCCATTTGCAATATGAAGCACCAGATCCAGGGAAGAACCAGCATGAGGACAAGGGAGTCAGAGGAGAGACTCTGAGACCCACCCAGATGTGACTGCTGCAGTCAAGCAAAGACATATGGCCAGAGGTGGAGAAAACAGGGAGACATGAGAGACGTTTGCAGGTGGGTGGACAATGGGGAAAGAGTGGGGGCTATTTCCAGGTAGCTGTTAGGTGAATGCTGACTCTGATTATTGATGTAGCCAACAAATGCCAGTTGACCATCTACTGTGTCCCAGCATTCCGCTCCGCACCCTGCACACAGCAGTGAATGAATCCATGGAGTTTATTTTCTACTAGCTGGAGATAGCAAACTATCTAATTATTTTAATAAACATTAATAAGAATGAAAAAAAACCACAGGGAAATAGAATGCAGAGTGATGGAAAGAGAGCAATTGACCACCTCATCAAGGGAGGATTATTTCAAGAGGAGACATTTGAGCTGAGACCGGGAAAGATGAGAGTCAGCCACATCTCAGGTGGAGGAATTCCACAGACAGGGAAGACAAACCCAGAGATGCCAGCATAGGAGCAGCCTTGGTAACCGGGGAACGGCAAGAAGTAGGCAGTGGCTGGGGCAGAAGGAACAAGGCCCGGGAGGCAGTGTTCAGTCTCCAGAGCTGAGCAAGGCCAGGTCTGGTAGGAACAACCTATGAGGTCACTGGACACAGGAGCCGGGACTGGCAGTGGTGTGAGGTGAGGCGAATGAGATGTCCAGCTGGACATCATTTTTACAGCCCTGGGAAATGCCCACTAAAGAACCGGAGCATTTCCTCTGAGCTAAGCCCGGGGGTAGGGAATGAAGGCATGAAGAGGACATGAGTCATCAGCATCCTGCACAGGTTGCTGACTCAGCTGAGCTCATTTGAACTAAGGTTGCTTGAGAGGCCATGCATTGAGGTTTAGCATTCTACAAGTTCTACTTCCTACACAAATGAAGTGAGGGAAAAGATTTAGCTAACACATTACGAGCTGCCTCTACCCTGGCTGGTGCATTCATTAGTATACCTTGAGGCAAATTAGTAGAAAAATTACTACAAAAAGAAACTCACTGAAGTGGAAAATAAATATGACATTCCATCAATATTAAACAGTATTTTTTTTTCTCCATGAGGGATGCTATTTATGAGTACAATACGAAAATTTCAGACCAACCTTCAAAGCTTGATAAAGTCTTCCCGCCAAAAAAGCTGGGGTGTTCCTCGTACAGTGAACTGTTTATTGTTGAAAAAGAAAGTAATGATTAGTTTCACTTAATAGAAACTGAGTCAATCTCAGTACTGACTTTTACTTAGAATGAGAAGAAAGCTGCTCATTCTGGATTTTAAAGCTTCATAACATCATATTTGCACAGAACTTTAGGATGGGAATATCTTCAGCCATGGGGAAAATAAAATTACATACCAAAGATACTCCCACACTGTCTGACTCATCTCCACATCTCAGACACACTGCACACCTCATCTTATTCTGATAATTACCTGGGGTGTCCCACAACTCAGTTGCAACATCTTTGGCTACCAATGAATAGCTTGGGCTACTAATGGCTATGGAAATGTGGCTACAAATAACTCCTTACATAAAAAAGGGCACTGAACTTCAATGTAAAACCCAATCACCTCATGGAAGGATTTTCGTTTAAAAATGAATGGACTACGAGACACAGGCTAGTGAGATTGACTGTGTTAGAACAACTACCTGCAAATCAGGTTTAGTTATCTAAAAATATACTACAGTCTTCCAAATATTTATCAGGAAATGGCAAGGAAAACAGAAATAAAACCAGAAAGAGAGTACTCACAAAAAACATAAGTAAACTAATTTTCCCTGAGATAAAGTGAAAATACACAGGAAGAGTAAAGATTATAGAGAACAAATTTCTTCATGCAGCACGGTTGTTTTCATGCTCTTCAGTCTGTCCAGGCAGGAGTCTGACCAACAGTGAGGGAATGGATTTTATGATGAAGCCCGGGGCTCAAAAAAAGACCTCAGTTTTCTTTACAGTGCTTACATCTTAAGGAGAGCCAAAGCCTTGCTGTATGTGGTGGTTTAAATGACAAACGTCCTCCATAGTCTCTGAGATTTGAACACTTGACTCCCAGCTGATGACACTGTTTGGGGAGGTTTAGGGGGTGTGGCCTTGCTAGAGGAAGTCTATCACTGGGGGTGGGCTTTGAGAATAGAAAGCCTTAAATTACTTCCAGCTCAGTCTCTCTGCTTCCTGGTTGTAGTTCCAGATGTGAGCTCTGAACTTCCTGCTCCTGCTGCGGTGCCCACAGCCTGCTGCCATGCTGCCCCTCCCATGGACTCTCATCCCGCTAGAACCATAGGCCCAAATAAACCCTTCCCCTCATCTCTAAGTTGTCTTGGTGATGATATTTTTTTCACAGCAACAGAAAAGTAACTAATACAGTGTCTGTAAATGATTTGAAGAGAACTTGAGATGTGATATTGTCTGACAAGGGACCAACCATTTGCCCTGGCACTACCTAAATTTTCTTCAACAGATATCAGGCTTTCAGAATTTGATCAAAACCATTCTGATCTCTTATCTTAGTAAACTTTTCAGCTATTTTCCCACAACTAGATATAAACACCCCTTCTCATCATAGTCCTTCCTTTCCTGTAGCTGGCCTTTTCTTGATGTTCTCAAGTGAAAGGTTTGTTCTTTGTATATGAAAACAGGGGAAGCGGCAGTAACTTAGCGGCAAGGATGCCTACTTTGCACCTGACATCATCGGAATGGAAACTGGAGGAGCCACCTCAATGATGACCATCCCCAAAGTTCACAATTGCCTGCTTCTTGCTCAAACTGTAACTTGCTATAAGCCCCTAAATTCTGGCTTGCCCTGATCTTGAGCAAGCATTAAAATGAAAGCGATATCCCTTTATTCAGCTCATCTTACAAACTCAATTGCCACAGTTCAAGGGAGTCAGTCTGAGTCCCCAGTTAACTGTGTCACCAAGGGGATGAGCCTGCTTCGAAGGATTGTCAAAGGTTTAAATGAGATGACATTTGTGAGGAGTTTAACATGGTATTCAGCACACAGAAGTTGCTTAAAAACAAAAGTTAAGGCCTCATAATTAGGAGTCACTCTTCAGAGGTGGGAATTAGCATTTGGAGGATGAATCCGGGTACCAATGGAAAAGTTACCCTTAGGGATCAGCTATCATGATCTCACCACAAGTTGCTGTGAATGACTGCAATGGATGGTAGAAATGACGTCCCACTGGTGAGATGGTAAGGCGTTCAGAGTCTAGGCATTCCCCAATGGGAATTCTGCAGTCAGCTCCAATGTGTCCCTAAATAGAAGTATCCTAGACACACCCCAATCTCTTTTTCTCTTCCTGGTGTGTGTGTGTGTGTGTGTGTGTGTGTGTGTGTGTGTGTGTGTGTGTGTGAAAGAGAGACAGACAGACAGACAGAGACAGCAGAGAAAGAGGGAGGGAGGGAGAGAGAGAGAGAGGAAGCTAACATGTTTTTTGACTCTTCACTAAAGAGGTCAAGAATCCTGTCTTTGAGTAGCGCCTCATCCTCTGATCTCACATTTCTTTTGAGGTGCTCTCTTAGTGCCTGGGAGGACAAACTGTGAGACCTCACTGCCTGTATAACAGCATTACTGACCACTCACTAATGTATGTGTTTTTATGGGAATGGATTCTGTCTGAATAACACCTGATTACTCTACCAAAGAGGAAGAGATCTATGGCTCTGACCTTGGCTCCAGTTTGGGAGGAAATTGACATCTTCCAGAGAACACCAAATACAGTGGGATACTAAATTGATTTGGGCTCAGTTTCAATAAGGCTCAATAAAAATGCCAGTAGAATGTAATTCAGCTTTCAAAGAGGGTATAATCTAAACACAATAACAAGCTGAGTACACAGTTAAAGGGCAAGATAAGAAGTAAGTACAGAACTTCTCCATGCATTATTTAACAATATTTGTTGAGCTAGCTGTTTGGACCATAGACTGCTAGGGGCTGTAGAGCACACAGATGGATCAGTCAGGATTCTTAAAATTAGCTCACCTTGACACTGACTTCAAAGAAAGAGAAATAGTTCCATTTATTAACACCCAAGGGCTTACCTATGGCCAGCAGCAGGTCTTCAAAATGCCCCGATAATTCTCCTTTAATGCTGTCCTCAATGTCCTTCTGGCTAATATTTCTGTACTCATCGAATGCTAAAAAGTAGCACCATAAAAATATTTAAAGCATCCCAGAGGGCCACACTTGAATATATTTCACATTTTAAAACGCGAGATGTAGCAGATCAACTAGCAAGCTCAGAACCTCAGCCACCAAAAGTTGAGCACAATGAAGACTGGACTCCTTAGGCCCTTTCTTCAGTGATCTCCCTTCCCCTGCCAGCTTGAAGCAGTTGAAATAGCTTGAAGTGTTCTGTGACTTCTCTGTTTTAAAATCACAGCAGGACCAGGCATCGATGCTGTGCTCAGCGGTCAGCTGTGTTTTATGTGCTGCAGAAAGTTAACTGGAAAGACTCCTTAAAACATTCTTAACATTAATTCTATGTAGTGTGTGTGTGTGTGTGTGTGTGTGTGTGTGTGTGTGTGTGTGGACATGTGTGTGTGTCAGAGGACGACTTTTGGGACTTGAATTTCTCCTCCATGACATGGGTTTCAGGGACCAAACTCAAGTGGTCAGACTCGTTGGCAAGTGCCTTCATGGTGGCAAATACCTTTACCTGAGGGGCCACCTTCCTACTAGCCCTGTCTGGGAGGCTTTGGATTTCTTGTGCTGAGGAAACCATTCTCTAAGGCAGTATCACCCACTTCCTACCTACCAGAAGTGATTCAAATTTCTTTCTTTCTTTCTTTCTTTCTTTCCTTCCTTCCTTCCTTCCTTCCTTCCTTCCTTCCTTCCTTCCTTCCTTCCTTCCTTCCTTCCTTCTTTCTTTCTTTCTTTCTTCCTTCCTTCCTTCCTTCCTTCCTTCCTTCCTTCCTTCCTTCCTTTCTTTCTTGTTTTTTTTTTTTTGTTTTTTTGTTTTTTTTTTTTTTGAGACAAGGTTTCTCTGTGTAGTTTTGGTGCCTGTCCTGGATCTCATTCTGGCTGGCCTTGAACTCACAGAGATCCTCCTGGCTCTGCCTCCCAAGTGCTGGGATTAAAGGCGTGTGCCACCACTGCCGGGCTTGATTCAAATTTCTTGATCAGTATTTGCCTTAAATAAAACCTGCACATACGTCATCGAGTATACAGGAAGATTATTAGCCTAGTACATTTTTTTTCCAACAATTTTTTTTGTTGCTTTGTTTTGTTTTGTTTTGAGATGGGAGTCCAAGCTGGCCTGGAACTTTCAGAAATCCTGCTTCCGCTAGGATTAAAGGCATGGGCCATCCAACACATTTTGAAAAAAAAGGAAAAGAAAACTTGCAAAGAGATACAGGGGTCATCCTATCTCTATTTTCAAACCAAGACCTTAGTAAACCCAGTAAACTACTGCACCCTTATTTCACAAAAATCACTGTTGAAGTTAAAGAAGTGCAATTTCAGAATGAAAAGTCTCAGCAGAACCCTTCTGTCTCCTCAGCTCAGCATCAGGTTAGTCCTAACCTGCCGCTGTTCTCAAAACTGGCACCTGGAAGCCATTGCCGTAATATGGTCATGCTAAATGGAGCTCTGTGCTTCTGGAACAGCTCAGGGAGACACGTGGGTGGGTGGACCCAGTCACTGGTCTGCGAAGGTCTCCCCCACCCCACTCTCATTTCTCTTCATGTCAGAGAGTAGTCACTGTTCATCATTATTAATCAATCCACAAAACTCCCTTTCATCACCCTTTCATCACCACTAATCAACCCAAACTCCCTTTCAGTGCCTGTCTTTTCCAGAAGGTGGCAGACCAGGAGAGATGGGATAGAAGGCCCTCCACCCCACAGCAACCAGGCTTCCAGCTCTCGGTGGGATTGCCTGTATCTTCTCCACCCTTTTCTATTGCTTGCTACTCACGGGGTAGGTAGCCTACTCAGTCTTCAGGACAAAATGAAAGAGAACGGCAGTACTGCCTTGAGTTAGAATGCAACTTCTCCATTTGGTTTCCTAAGAAGTTTCTACGTAAACTGCAAAGACACCTGCAAAATCAACATGGAGTGAAACAGACTCGAGTCGTACTCAGTTTCAGCTGCGGAAAACTCCGTAGACACAGGATCTCGGTGAATTTGTCTTCATCGGTGCCCCATTTGTTCTCGCCGGCATTGTAGAGGATCTGGACAAACGGAAGAAGCCCGGCATGTCATCACAAATGCAGGACCTTCTCTCTTGGAGGGGATGGAAGGGGAGGAAGAAGCCCTGCATGTCATCACAAATGCAGGGCCTTCTCTCTTGGAGGGGATGCAAGGGGAAGAGTGAGGATTTTACTTGACTTTAGAGGCCAATAAAATGATCAATCATCTACACAGTTCACTTGGAGCAGACTTCAAATCTGAAGGTCCAATGCAGGGCCTGGTGGTGGTAGTGGTGGATGGTCACCATCACAGTGGCAGGCAGGGGATGGGCTGGATGATGCCTGTCCCCCAGGCTTTGACTCGGGACAGGAGAGGACAGGCCTGAGTAGTGTCATCTTTTGCAGAGGCCATCAAGGGTGTGTGTAAAAGAGACATTCTCCTGGCTGTTACTGACCTGGGCGTCTTTTTTGGCCAGATGTTCATCCACTTTTAGACTTTCATCTCTTCTACCCTAAACCAGCAGGGATGATTTAAAGAAGAAAAACACAAAACAACAAGGTCAATCCTTTAAGGACACTGTACTCCACCCAGTAGTTCATCTTGGTAGATTTTTTTCATGCAAACCATGTAGCAGAAAATTATGGGGCACTCCTGGCTCTGGGTCTGCCTCTGCCAGTCAGTCAATGTAGCAGAGCACATAATCTGCGGCCTCAATCTCCTCTGGAAACTCAAAGGTGTTAGGATGCAAAGAAAAGGCCCAGACAGATATTTACAAAACATATCTGACAAAAGACTAATAATCAAAATAACTTAATAAAGTAAGAAGATAATAAACAACCCCATCTTAAAAGAGTAAAAGATCTAAGGAGACATCTTACCAAAGAAGATGTATAGACAGCAAGAAAGCATATATAAAGATACTTTACATCATGTCCCTGTGGACTATAAATTAAAACAGAATCTGTTAGTATGGTTAAACTCCAAAACACTGACAACACCAAATTCTGGGAAAGACAGAAACAATAGGAACTCTACTTCTATTGCTAGTGGGAATGTAAGACGTTACATGCGTATTGAGAGACCATCCAGCAGTTTCTTACATTGCTAGATATATTCTTACAGTATGATCCAGCAATTAAGCTCCTTGACGTTCATCTAAGCAAGTTGGACACATGTCCATACAAAACCTTGCACGTAAATAATTAACTGAAGTTGTATTTATAACTGACAAGACTTGGAAGCAATCAAGATGCCCTTCAACTGATAAACAGTTTATACAACAGAATATTATTCAGTAAAAATAGACACAAGCTGGCCAGTTATAAAAAAATATGGAAAAACCTTAAAGGCTTTATCCATTATATTTACATGTGAAATGTCATATGCAGTTTGAGATCACCGAGAAGTTGGCTCTGGAAACAGGACTGATTCTCCAATTTCAGGCTCAAGCATGTTTATGTCAAGGGTCCTCCAAATGCCCCTTTTCTGGGTCAGGCCGACCCCCTGACTCTTTAATGGGAAGAGGGAAAACAGCAACTAGCTAAAGGCACTAAGACATCTGGTCCTTGAGAATGGTTAAAAAGTAAGCTATTGGGCTGGAGAGATGGCTCAGAGGTTAAGAGCACCAACTGCTCTTCCAGAGGTCCTGAGTTCAATTCCCAGCACCCACATGGTGGCTCACAACCATCTGTAATGAGATCTGGCACCCTCTTCTGTATACATAATAAATAAATAAATCTTTAAAAAAAAAAGTAAGCTATCTGCATCCAAAGGTGACTATTGTTTATCCCATAATATTATGATGTCTGCAGCAGGAAAGAGAAGGGAGAAGCTTACTGCAGAGGACACTCTGCCTTGCCAGGAACCTTTTCTAGCGTGATTGAACAGAGTGTCCCCAGCCATTACCGCTAGATCAGTGGTCCTCAACCTCCCTGATGCTGTGGCCCTCAACAGTTCCTCATGTTGAAGTGACTCACAACCAGAAAAGTGATTTCATTGCTCTTTCATAACTGTAATTTTGCTGCAGTTATGAACCATAATGTAAATATCTGATATGCCACCCAGAGGGGTCACGACCCACGGATGGAGAACCACTGTGCTGGATGGTTATAAGCACTGGTTTAATGATGCTCTGTCTGCTGCTTGACGATTGTTCCTTTTTGGAAGCCTCACCAGTGGGGACACAGGGCTCTGCCCAGGACTCCCACGCCAGAGTTCGAGCTGTCTCAAGCGGTTTTCCCCGTTAGACGTCTGCTGGATCTTTGCAATCACCAACTTGACGGGGTTAGCATTTGTCACTCAACTGGGTAGTCCAGTGGTTTCTGCTGCGAGTGTGAGTGCCCACTTTGAAGATGATTTTTTATCTTTCTGCTACTACATTTGATTTATTCTTTTATTTTTGCTTGCTATATACTTGGGGAACTCACTCACTCAAAACAACAACAACAACAACAACACCCTAAAGCACAGCTGTCATAGGCGAGTCTCCAAACCGCAGAGAACAGCCTATGGCTTACGTGTGGGAAGCTGGTCTGAAAAGGCTGTATAAGGAATGACTTCAACTACTGGGCACTGTCTATACAAGAGGCAAACTAGATGCAGAAAAAGATGAGTAGTTTCTGTGGGAGAGGAAAAGGACGATCGAAACCGACAGAAGACGGGCTTCCTGGAGCAGTGGAGTCACTCTGCATGAAACTGCAATGGTAGGTACATTCATACTTCTGTTAAAGTCCATAGAGCAGTTGAGTAACACCCAATGCCCTAATCCCTGTGCACGCACTCGGCACCTCACCTACTCTCTCTTCACCTTCAGAACACCTTGAGGGGTTAATACTAGCTGAAGTGCAATGTCACAGGCATGAACACAAATCCTCTAAAGCTTAAAGTAACTGTTCAGATACAGAAAGCCATTAGGCGGTGGGAGGGTCCAGTTCTGTTTGATCTCAAACCAGCCCCAGGAGCTCTACTTTTCCTGCTTACTGTGAGCTCACATCATGAATGTGGATGTGCGCCGTGACACCCACTGCTGAGACCATGTCTGCCACTGCCCTTCATACCTTCGGGTTTGTGGATTCAACCTTCCCGAGGTTTTCAGCAGTTAAAGCACCTCAAGCCGTAATGAGTATGAGTTATTTCCAAGCTGCATAATAGCTCACTTTGGCAAGTGCGGCTTCAGCCCTCATGCTGAGCCACCTGGGAGTTTCTCCCACATCAGGAGCTGTGTAAATCAGCTGCAAGATGTCTGTGAGACAGGGCTTCAATCATGTCCTCTCTTAGACAAGCCCATGAATATGAATGTGAACTCATCCTCAGTTTCACCTTTTTTTTTTTTTTTTTATGTGTATGGGTGTTTAGCTCGCATGTGTGGTTGGGCACAACATGCATGCCTGTGTCCCACATGTCCCACACACATGCTCAAAGAGGGAACAGGATCCCCTGGGACCAGAATTACAGGTGATGGTGAGCCGAGATGTGAGTGTTGAGACCCCAACCTTGGTCCTCTGAAGAGCAATCAGTACTCTTAACTGCTGGGCCATTTCTCCAGCCCTGACTTTAGCACCTTTAAAATATATATGTTATTTATTACTATGTGCATGTTGAGGGGCACACAGTGCATGTGTGGAGGTCAGAGAGGATGGCTCTACGGAGGTGAGTCTCTCTATCCTCTTTTCCATGGGTTCCAGGGACTGAACCCTGGTTGCCAGTTATCGGCAAGTGCCTTTACCTGCGACAGTGCCTCGGCAGGTCTCCAGTCTTTGTTACTGAAATCATGGACCTTCCAAGCAAAATGAGCACAGGCCTCATCTGCTCACATATTGTCTTTCCCAAGGTAATAGGGACAACATCCTGAAACAGATACTTTTTTCTGGATTTACTACCCATCTCCGAGAATAGTTCTTTTATGCTTTCACCTTTAATTTAAACAAAGTAAGTATTCTTTGGAGTCCAGAAGAAAATCTACACGTCTAAAGATGCAAGCACGCCGAAAACGAGCAGTTAAGAGTTTCTGTGGGCGGCACATGGCAGCATACTGTGAATCTCAACGGAAACACTTCTAATCTATAGACTGATCTGACCCAACCACGATTTTTTGTTGTGGTTAGATCACTATGTGTGCTTTTGTGATCTTGGCTAAATGTTTTATTGATGGTGGCAATGCAAATGTGATTTGAAAGAATCATTTCACCGGAAAATGGAAATCTCACTGTCTTCGCTTTTAACTCCCTGAAAACGATTTCTGAGCTTGCAGCTTATTGGGGAGGCAAATAATAAAAAATAAAACCTTACATCTGCCAAAGTCAGTAGAGCTTTCCGGAAGTCACCAGATGTCTCAGAACTAATGTCATCTCCGAGACTCTTCTTATACACTGAAACCAAGTAAGAATGAGATTTAGTCGTGGGAAACTGAAACAGACTACTACAGAGCAGAGTGCAGTGACCTCGTGTTTTCTCTGTTGACTTCCTGGTGCTCCGCTAGTGTGGGAATGTGGGGTGGAGGCATTGCTCTGGCAGTGATTTCTGCCGTGTGTTGTGAGGCCAACCATAAGAAGACTTGTGGTTCTCGGCTGAATTGCGGTTCACTTCATCTGACAGTGGCTTAAAGAATAAATACACAGGGTGGGAATCGGCTGGTTGGCCTTCAGGTTTCCATGTTTATCTTCTTTCACGTGAAACAGCCTGAAGGCATGTTCTCAGGGTTTCTCTGAGCTAGGCGCAGCCCAGGTATGAAGTTCTTGATCACATGTAGGCAGGCATGAATGCTTTTGCTGGGAAATCTACTCAAAGGATGAGCCTTGGCCACCATCATCCCTTTCTGACTCTGCCATTCTGTAGATTGAGGCCTGAAGCTTAGGCAGCTATCTGTCACTATGAAAGATGGGGCTTGAATTCCTGAACATTTTGAAAAGCTGTCATACCAGTCTAGAATTGTCAATATTTTCACCTCTACATATATTAGAATTAAACATCGATTGTGTGTGAGTCACTGTCATTGTTCAGTTTTATTGAATCTAACTTTCACCTTAAGAAATACTCCTAGATTCTATTATTTTTTAAAAAAAGAAAGCCATCCTCCAAATACTATTTTTGCTTAACCAATGCCAGCTTTGTGTTCACATATTTTAGTATACACTAGTTGTAGACCCTTTGCAGGGCAAGTGGTAAACTGTGCCCACTTTTAACTTTTATTCTTATTTTTAAAGATTAATTTATTTTCTTTTATGCATATGAGTGTTTTTCCTGCATGCATGTAAATGCACTTTGTGTGTGCCCGTTGCGCACAGAAGTCAGAAGAGGGGTCAGGCCCCCGGGAACTGAAGTTACATTGTTGTGATCCACCATGTGGGTGCTGGGAACTGAACAGGGTCCCCTGGCGGAGCTACAAGCTCTCCTACAATCTGAGTCATTTCTCCAGCTTTGAGTTTTGTTCTTACTGTGTTGTAGAATTGGGGACTGAGTCCAGCATCTTGTGCGTGTTAGGCAAGAGCACTCCCAATGAGCAACATTCCCTGCCCTGTCCACAATTTCCAATGTTTGTTCTGCTCCCGTGAAGCAGTGGCGCCCTGGATGCTAATACATGTCTGGATGGAGGTGACACCAGGTGGCAACATGGATTCCATCTGCCCCACTTTCGATAGCACCATATAAACGCTCACATGAAAAATCATCAACAGAGGACAACTACGGAGAGTGATAGGATTATCTAATAGCAAAACTTTCCTCAGCACAATTAATGACTCTTTAATGAAATCTATCGTTTTCAAAGAAATTCATACAAGCACAAGGCACTAGAGATATAAATGGTGATACTGTATGCCCCTGCCCACCTCTCAGTCATAATATCATCGTCCTACCCTACATTCTATTTAGAGAAGGAATTTAAACCTAAAAACAAATCAAAAAATGAGGTTCATGTGTTTTAGAATTTGGAGGAGTATTTTGTAATTTTAGAATTATCTAGATAGGACATAATATTCATGTCATGCAGTCTCCCCTGGCTTCCTTCTTCACATTTTTTTTTTTTTTGCAGGAAGTTGCACTATTGAAAAATGAAAATGAAGTCAGGCAGTGGTGGCGAATGCTTTTAATCCCAACACTCAGGAGGCAGAGGCAGGTGAATTGAGTTTGAGGCCCACCTGGTCTACAGAGCTAGTTCTAGGACAGCCAGGGCTCCACAGGGAAACCTGTCTCAAAAACAAAACCAAACAAAACAAAACACCAACAAAAAATGAAAACGAGGGTAGTAGAAGAAGGAAGGGTGGGCATGATTAGCACTCAATACTCAAATGTATGGAAATGTCACAATGAAACTCATTAATATGTACAACCAATAGGTACCAATAATTTAATTATATACCAATAATTATAATAAAAAGAAATAGGTGAAAATGATTCCAATATAGTTGACAAGTACCTCGTGCACTTTGAGGCATAACAGGTGTGGTGGCTTAAAAGAAAATGGTCCCCAAAGGGAATGGCACTATTAGGAGGTATGGCTTTGTTGGAGTAGGAGTGGTCTTGTTGGAGGAAGTGTGTCACTGTGGCGGTGGGCTTTGCAGTCTCATATATGTTCAAGCCACGCCCAGTGAGACAGACCATTTCCTGTTGCCTGTGAGTCAAGATGTAAGAACTCTCAGCTACCTCTCTAGCACCATGTCTGCCTGCATGCTGCCTTGCTTCCTGCAGTGGTGATAATGAACTAAACCTCTGAACTGTAAGCAAGCCACCACAGCTAAATGTTTTCCTTGACAAAAGTTGCCATGGTCATGGTGTGTCTTCATAGCAATAGAAGCCCTAACTAAGACACCAGGGTAAAAGAATGAGGATGGTGTTGCGGTAGGAAGGAGCTTGAACTGGAACGTAAGAGTTCCTGATCCCTAATTCGGCGTTCTTTCACACACCAGTGACTTCAGAAGACTGGGAAAACCATAGTTGTTAGCTGTTTATGTAGACTATTGTGTTACTTCGTTGATAAGACAGCTTGTTGCTTTTATGAAGGTCAAGTTGATGACCTCACTTTTTTCATTTCACCTTATAGGACTCCATAATAACTTTATACCTTTTATTGCATTTATTATTTGTGTGTGTGTGTGTGTGTGTGTGTGTGTGTGTGTGTGTGTGTGTATGCATAAACACACACACATGCACCACAGCCCATGTGTGTCAATCAGAGGACAACTTTTGGAATAAGTTATCTTCTTCTACCATGTGGGGCTCTGGAATTGAAACTACATTTCCAGGCTTGAAAGAATGTGCATTATCTACTGAAGTCATCTTATCAAGCCAAAAACCTCAAGGATTATAAACACTAATGATGTACCCACTTGTGCCTATGGTTAACCAGCTGTCTCGTCTACTTCAAATTCACATGCTTTCTGCTATGTTTCCCGAATAGTTGGCAGTGAAGGGAGGCCGGAGGGCAGGGAGAGGAAAGCATGTTACCTATTGGCCTTTGTCACTAGTTCCACCCTGAGAGGCAGTCCATGGCCTCTACAGCAAGCTGCGGGCAGCACCAGAGAGGCACCAGTTCCAGACACATGGGGTCCTCTTCCTAGAAATCTAAACTCTTCCTAAAGCTTCTCTTCTGAGTTCCCCGGTGACCAACACCAGACAGGTGGTACCCACCTCCCAAACTTGCAATTTCAGGTAACCTCAACTTCTTTGCCATGGAGTCCATTTGGTGTATTACCCTCTGTCTTCCAGTTCTGTTTTTTTTTTTTCTGTTTTCCAAAAGTATGGATGCAATTATCTCTAATAAACTCTGTCTGTTAAAATACCCAGTGTTGTTTGTGGTTTTTTTCTGACTGGACTTTAATTAGTGCATCAATAACAAATTAGTCACCTATAATTTAGGTATCTATCATTTAATGAGAATTTCTCAAAATAACCTTTCTAATACCCATCTGGGGCCCAGGATTCCCCTTCCTGTGGGCTTCTCTTACAGCAAAAGTGGACCTCCTAGAAACATAAGCTTAGGAAGCATGGCGCCATCAAGGAAGGTCCTTAGAGAACTTTATGGGGCTGTTGTATAATACAGCACCGAGTTACTGTTTAGTCCTTCATTCTTGGGACAAATCCTCGTACTCCCCCTGGTAACTGAGTCTCTTATTCATGTCATTCTTCTGAGTTTTACTAATAAGATAACTGAGAATAGAAAGCAGTAAGATTAGAAAGACCAGCCCTGCAATTAGAAGGTGAGTCATGTGGCATAGTCATCTCAGTCTCTGAGGACTGGCTATAAGCTAAGCTCAGTCACATGGACAATGACTCAACCAATCACATCTGAGTAACAAACTCAGGTTAAAAACAATGGCTACCAATGTTCAAGTGAGGATGCCAGGTGGTGATTCCTCATCAATGTGCCAGTAGGGTAGAAAAGTTAGGAGTCGGGACTCTCAGACATCTATCTGTGTTCTGTCATTTGACTGACCATGATTTCCGCTTCTTTCAGAACAAAATTGTCACTGGGAGTACTGTACTTTCTGAGTTCTGGGGACTTTTAGTGAACTACTGAACTCGAATGGGCAGTGAGAATCCTGGATTTGTAGGCCATTCGTTAGAGGTGTATGTGGCCTAGGAATGTTTAAGCTTGTGACTGAGTCTGAAATGAGGTGGCTGAGGTTTTCTTTCTTTCTTCTTTTAAAGATTTATTTATTTATTATGTATAGTGTTCTGCCTGCAGGCCAGAAGAGGGCACCAGAGCTCATTATAGATGGTTGTGTGGTTGCTGGGAATTGAACTCAGGACCTCTGGAAGAGCAGCCAGTGCTCTTAACTTCTGAGCCATCTCTCCAGCCCTGTGACTGAGGTTTTCATACCACCTCTGAGTAGAAGCAGAATTACATGGTAAGGATCTTCTAATTTTTACATGGACTTTTAGGACTTTGGCCAATTATATTGAACCTAAATACTCAGCACTCCTTCTAAATGGCTTACCAAATTTCTCACACCAAAAATCACAAGTCTGAGTGGTTTTTAACTTATAGTCGAAGTACAGAATGACGTGAGACTCTTATATTGATGAACATGATTGACTCAATTTAAGTGATTGTTGAGGGAAAAGTCCTCTTCTGAAGCGATACTACTATAAATGCAAGATGCTAATACTATTGTTATGTGGCAGATCATATCTTTCCCAAAGAATTCATAGTCCATGTCAGAATGCATCTTTCCTTCCCTGTCTCTGGCATTCTCAAGATGCTTTATGATAGGTGAGGTGCCAGGAGAAGCAACTTGGCTCACACATGTGTGGTCATTGGTAAAAGCAAGAAGAAGGCGGGTCACCTGTATAATAGGCCTGCGTGATCTCCTTCATCTGCCTGCTTGTCCTGGTGGTTAAGATTTCAATCAAGGTATCTTCATCCGTCCCAGTGCCCTAACAAGGAAAAAGAAATCCAATTTTAGAACACTTAAAATAACTTAATTTCATGCTTTTCAGTCTTAATATCTTATTTTGTACAGATGAAAGAACAGCTCTGAGTAAATCAACAAAAGATCTCCTATTGCTCTACCATAGTTTTCTGATTTCTCCATGCATTTTAGAATTAAAACAATAAGTCATCTGGAGAAAACTGACATCAAGTGTTTCAAGAAAGTGCCCTACTCTAATGTGAAAATAAGTCAGATAACTCTAGGAGGAAAGGGCAGGAAGGAAAACGCGTGTGTCATCAATGACCGCAAGAGGTGGCCTAATAGGCTCCGCCCACTACGCCGACACAGCACTGCATATAGAAAGCGCTCTGTAGCAATTTTGAATGTGTGTATCCTTGCGCCTCTGGGCAGGGTTGGTCAGCATGTCCCAGTCTTCTCATACACAGAGCTTTTCAAATCTTCAGTAAATGTGTGTCATGGGCCTTGCTGGCTTGGAGCCCAGTTACCTCTAAGCCTTGTTTGTATCAAGGTCACTGACTCACACTGTAAGCTCTTTGCAATGGAACTTGATCAAATAAAGCCACTGAAACTTACAAACAGAGATTCAGTCCTGGCCAGGATGCCTGCCACTGAAATCATCCATACAACCAACTATGGTACATTCATACATCCATACATTCTGACCAGAATAACTGCAGGCAAGTACTAGGAGAGTCCTTATAGAGAGGCTATAAAACTTTCCTTAGCCTTTGTTTTATTTAGTTGACTACTGTTGCCAACTTTAGCCAAGAAGTAGAATTCAGGGGCTAAGATGAGAGAGCCTAAGACCACAGGGTCTCGATAATGGTACTGCCACCATTCTCAGTCCAGAGTCCTTACTGTGGACTTCTTCTTAACCAAAGACAACATTTTCTAGTACATGTCGGTACATCTGGCCATAAGAATCACACCTGTTGAGCTCTCCCCATGAGGAAGCCGTGGATACACCCTGCTCACATTTCGCTTTAGACTGCCTGCTGTAACACATGTTCTTTGCTAACAGCCTCCAAATGCCACACCTTTGGGTCTGCCCTAGGGTTCATGATGAAGACTTTTTGCCCCTGGTAACTGACAGAGCACATATGAGTGAGGTACCAGAGCTGGGCTGTTTCTGCTCGTCATGGGGCTCATCTCCTATGCCATCATTGCCGGGCACACTTTCTCAGAGATGTGCCATGTGCTGGGGCTCTTCTTCAGGGGGCAGAGCCTCAGTGCAGCCTTAAGGCTCACTTTTTCCCCCTGCTGTTTCCTCTGCATCCTCCACAGGCATTTCTCACAGCAAATCTCCTGCATATCCGCTTCCAGCTGGCCACGTGCTTCTCAGATGCCCTCTTCCTGTGGGTGGGAAGCCAGAATCTGGACCCCTTTCCCACCACTTCTCTCTAAGTCCACTAAGCATCTACATCATTTCAGACTTTGATGTAGGATAAAGACTACAACCTGTGAGGTCCCTTAGCATGATGAAGACTCATATCCTAGTTATATGAAAAAAAAGGCAAAGAAATGTACCTTTAAAAAAGAAGAGAACATTTTAGGTGGCAATAAGATAAATTTAAAAAAAAATGGTTCTTTCTGTAAGTGGCCCTGTGGTCATCTACAAAAATAGTTCACTGTCCACTCACTGCAGAAAACCCCACAGAATTAAGAAGGAGGTTCAAGTCTTAAAGCCTACCTGTCAAACTGCCTAGGCCATCAGGGTGCACATCTGTCTACCAAGTACCTGAAAGATGCTACTTTCTACAAGTCACATGCAGTGCTGTGTGGCCGGATGCTTGTAATTCCAACAGTTGGGAAGGTGAGGCAGGATTATGAGTTAAAGGTCACCTGGGCCACACAGTGAGACCTTGTTTTCTTTTCTTTTTTTAAGGTAACCATTCTATTGCCACAGTGTAGGAATTAAGATAGACATGCCCAGAAAGAAATGGGGTGAGATGGCCCAAAATGAGAGCTGAATTTTTGCTACACATACTTGAAAGTGCAGAGCGTGTACTGAGATTCAGATTCTAAGTGTCGCTTCTCTGGTCACTCAACATATCCACGTGATAAAGCACCCAGATTCTCCAGACTTTCCAAGTTCATAGGGTCAGGTTAGCTTATACCTGAGCTGCCTGCATGGAGTTGATCCTCACTGAAATGAACAAACTCTTCCTGCGCCAGAAGAGGAGACTACACAGAAGAAAAAGGTATCCCAGAGAAAACAAAACAAAACAAAAACCCCCAAATTTCTGGCCAGAGGATAAACTCAGCATAAAGTACACACAAATGGAAGTTAAACAAAAGACATGACCATAGAATTGGTAAACTAACATGGAATTTCTGAGGAGAAGGAATCCAGACGGAACACCATGGATAAGGACCCCCAAACAAGGGTGCTTGCAATGCCCAAGAAGCAGAGGAAAGTCCAGTGAAGCGAGCGCCATTGAATGAGGACAGAAGGAAGGTGATAGTTTTATGTGGCAACTTGGTCCCTGGCTATCCAGACAGATGTTAATCTGTGTGCTGCTGTGAAGGCATTTTATGAATAAAGTCCATTATCAATTGATTTTAAGTGGGACATACTTCAGACACTCTGCATTCTGACTGGGCCCAATTCATTCTGCTAAAAGGCCTTGAGGGAAAGCCAAGCCTTCCCTGAAGAAGAGGCTGTAGCTGTGGGCAGCAGCTTTGGAGACTGCTGAGGGCTCAGGCCTTCCCTGACCACCTTCCTTGCAGATCCTGGTCCTTACCACCCAGACTCTGCCTTACAGTAAAGTTCTTAATATAAATGTTCTGCCGAGTGGTTCTATTTCTCTGGGGAAGACTGGCAGGGTTTTAAAAGAATCACAGATAGACAAGGGGCAGCCTTGTGTGATGAAGGTGATGAGGAGTCTGGGTTTTAAGTGATCACTGGAGATTTAGGGAGGTGAATCACATCGTCTCACTTTAAAATATCTTTATAAAAGTAATTTTGCCCATCCCATTGAGAGCAGTTTCCAATGGAACTGAAGGGACCTGCTTAGGGTACTGATAAAGTATAACCAAGAGATGCAGGTGGCCAAAACAGAGTGGGAGCCACCGAGGGAGACGTTGGCTTCCATCCTGACACTGTCTGAGATGTGCTTGTTGCTGTAGACTTAGAGCAGAGTGCACGTGGACTTGGTGAGAAGTTTGGGGTTCTGAAGGGTAAAGGAAAGCAAGGGACTAAAAATAATACAAATCATGGGGCCTGAATAATGGATGGGTGATGGTAAATATTTATTTAAGAAAAAAGAAAAGAAAAGAAAGAAAATGTAACTGTCCTTGCAGCTCAGGGTCATTTGGGCTCCAGGTTGCATAGAGCTCCCCATAATCACCCCACCCACAGTCAAAAATGGCATTCAAACCCACTAGGTCTCAAATGAGTGCTCAAGAGTTCCCTAATCATGATGGCAGGGAAATCTGGGGAGCGTCGGTTTGTGTAGGGCTTGTACCTTCATGGATTTCTTCAGTTGTTTTGCATCAAACAGGGCTGGTGCAGTCACAAGAGCCACCATGATGTGCTCAAAGTGGCCAGAGAGGTCACCCTTCAAGTCATCTTTCAACTCCTAAAATAAAAACCCCAAGAAGGAAATCATGAAACATGTTTCTTTTCTCTTCCTCAACAGCCACCCAGGGGAAAGAGAAATGCAAGTCTAAGAACCAAGCAAAAGCGTGCCCATCCATAGGGAAGAGCAGGAATGCTGAGAATATCTCAATGGACATTAATCTTCATTTTATGAGGTTTTCACAATGTTCTGCCTTACACAGACTTTTGCAAAGCCCAAAGGAAGCTTTACAAGTTCACCAGAGTTTGGGACTGTACATTAAAATGCCGTTCCTCTAAATACCCTGCTCATTACACATTGTACGCATGTACCAAATCATTACATCATACCCACAAATATGCACAATTAAAATAATAACTGATAACTAGAAAAACAGAATGAATGCATTTCCTAGGTCCTCGGTGCTTCAAAAGGAGGGTAAGTGAGGAAGAGAGAGGGCTCTCTCTGGTAAACTCTCTGTTTCAGAGTACCTTGCTTCTCAGAGACCCCACTGGGCTCCAAAGAGAAAGGGGAGGACAGTGGCTGCTTAGTCTCCTTTAGTGGATCCTGGGGCGTTCCAAGCAGGACAACAGCGTCCTTTGCCACTGTTTCCACACATTACATAAGAAGTCCGTCTCTCCCCCTAAGGGCAGGAACGTGGTTTCTATTTCCAATATTCAAAGGAGGGATATGAAACAGTTTTCTTTTCAGGGCTGGTAGCTGGCAGCCTCTCAGGCAGCTCTGATGATAAAGACCGACACCACGACCACCCACCAGGGACACAGTGGGGTCATGAGATGGAGCCAAGTATCACCCTGCTTTAACTGCAACAGGGTGTTTTGTTTGTTTGTTTGTTTGTTTTTGCCTAAAGATGCTAAATTCTCAACCCGAAGGCAAAGAAATCCTATCTCACGTGCTCTCAACCCATCACAGTGAGAAATGGTGGTTGCCCTTTGCCTCCATTGACTCTTCCTCCACATTTTCCAGTGCTCTGAAAGGCCAATGGACCATCCATGTCATCTGCCGACCTATATGTGAGGGGGTTTGTCCAGATGCTTGGCAGTTCATTCATTTCCACACATGTTTAAGGGCACCTAATTAATGCTGGACATTATAGGTAGCCACAATATACTGCTTATGCCTAAGACGTTCACTCTAATGGTAAAATAAAAGTATTCAAAGAAGAAATTTAATTTTATCATATAGGATATTGAGTGTGCGATAAATGGTGTCTGAGGAAGGAGTTTTAATGCCTGGGGGGACTGGAGAGCACTGTCAGGTGATGGCCGAGCTAACTGTGATGGTCAACAGCCTGACTGCTGTGTGTACTCCTTCCTTTCCATACTTCATGACCCACAGCATCCAGAGTAATCTTTCCATTGTCTTTATAATTCTGGGGATGGGACAGAGAGCCTCAGAAATGCCAGGCAAGTACTCTACCATTAAGCTAAACCTCCAGGTCCCCAAATAATCTTTTAATACTAAAAATTGGACTAGACTATTCCCCTGCTTACAGACTTCCAATGGCTCCCTATTGTAGGATAAAATCAAGACGACTATGAAACAATTCTTAGAGATAAAGCCCAGAGGCATGTATCTGTAGTCTTAGCACTGGGTAGGAAGGACGCTGAGGTGGGAAGATTATTTGAATACAGGTGCTAAAGACCGGACTGGCAACATGGCAAAATCCTATCTCAAATCCACAAATAAAAATGTTTGGTAGTCAGGCTCGGTGATGCACATCCACGTATTTCTAGCTCCTAGTAAGGTGAGACGATCATTTGAACTAGCCTGAAAAACAGTGGCACCCGGAATTTTTTCAAAAGCTCCAATACTACAAAACTATCCCTTTGCCTCACCAAGTCCACACTCCTGCTATATTGGGGTTCAGAGTTCTGTCTCCCCCACATTCCCAGCTGACTACTGCCCAGGACCTTTCCATTTGTCCTTCCTGTCCTGCGTTCAATCTCTGGTCTCCGACAAGAGTACTACTCACCAAATAGATGACGAACAAATTGTGTGGCAGTCTTGTTCTTACGGATTTATTTTGGGATACTTAGTGGGTTTCCATCTGCTGACTTAACTGAGTCTATCCTTACGTAACTATTTTAAAATTAAAACAGAAACTAAAGATTATCTAAGGCCTTCTTTGTCAGAAAACTGTTCCGGTAATACTTGGTTGGGAGAGCTGTCCTCCATACGATACACCCTTGACAGTATCTTTAACCTCTGGAAGTCAGAATCACCCTCCACCCCGAGTCTAACTTGGGTCATCAAAATGTCTCTACTCAGGCTGGGGACAGGCCTCAGTTGGTAGAGCACTCGCCCAGCCTTCACAAAGACCTGGGTTGGATTCCCCAGTACCAGCTACCCCAGGCCTAGTGAGTCCTGGCTATAATCCCAACACTGAGAGATGAACACAGGATCAGAAATTCAAGATAATCTCCATCTACTTTGTAAGTTCCGGGCTAGTCTGTGCTACACGAGACCCTGTCTCAAAAAAGAAAAAATAAATCTCCCTTTAAGCCAAGTGTCCTGTGGGGAGGGTATTCACTGCTGACTTGGAATCATTGCTGCGACCCTTTAATACAGTTCCTCATGTTGTGGTGACCCTCAACCATAAAATTATTTTCATTGCTACTTCATAACTGTAGTTTTGCTACTGTGATGAATTGTAACGTAAATATGTGATGTGCCAGATAGAATATCTGCTATGTGACCCCTGTAAAAAGGTCCTTTGGGAAAAAACAAATAAACAAACAAGTCCTTTGACCCCAAAGGGGTCATGACCCACAGGTTGAGAACCACTCCTCTGAGGCACCATTCTTCATTCCATAGTGAAGAAGCAGAAACCCCAAAGCCACTGAGGTGGTGAATGCAAAACCAGGGTTGAGAGTCCTGGTTCTTGAGTGAATGCACGCGGCATCTTCTGCCTCACTCCATCTGAAACCAAAGATCTGCGAGTGGACCACGGAGGAGGAACTGAGACCGGTGACTGTCCCTTCAGGGCCTGTCGTGTTCACGGCGGTACCTGTTCATATGTTGCTTGGTACTCCTTGGCAATCAGCTGCCGCTGCGCATTCGAGCGCTCTGTCAGAATGCTGATGAGGGTTTTCTCGTCAGTTCCTAAATGAGACCAAAGTTATTTCATCAGCCAAGGATTCTCCGTATCTGTGCCGAGCAACAGAAGAGCGATAGGACGTCTGAAACTAGTGCCTACAGTGAGGCGTTTTAATTTTCAGTTTAGAGCTTCTTGCTGGGTTAGAAGCTGTGTGTTTGCCTGGTTTGGGGGTTTTGTTTGTTTGTTTGTTGTCTTGTTTTTGAAAAAGAAGTTAACCATTTGGATGATTGGGGGATGGAAAACAAAAACGACAGCCAATCCTCGTCTACTCCTCCCATGCACACACAGCGAGAGGGGCACGAAGAACTTCCAGAGTGACTCCTACTGAATTTCAGCACTCACTCCATAACCGACATCAAATCTTCTGTCCTCTCGAGGGCAGGACCGGAAGATTTACTGAAAACCTACTATCTATAAGGTGCCCTTTTTTACTCCTTGTTGTAGCCGAGAGTTACAGGGTCCCTATACTGTGGAGAGATAAAGCTGCCCTAAAGATGACATTAATACTCAGAGAGCTTATGTCACTTGCCAAAGTCACACAGCTTTTAAGAAATGCAACAAATCCCTCACATGCAAACATGGATTTTGTTGTGGTTTGAATATGAAATGTGCCCCCTTCATGTGTTGAGTACTTGGTCTCTAGTTGGTGGTGTCATTTCAGAAAATGATAGACATCTCAAGGGGTGGGGCCTAGAGGAGATAGGTCATCAGGGACATTCCTTTAAAGGTTATCCCCTCCCCGCTTCTCCTCCTTGAGGTAAGGAGGTCAGCAGTGCGCCACATGATGCTCTGCCCCACCACAAGCCCACAATCAATGGAGGCAAGTACCACAGACTGGACCCTCTGGAAACCACGAGCCGAAATAAATCTTCTCGATCACACTTAGTTTACAACAGCAATGCGAAGTCTGACTGACACAGATTTCTGTTTGTGACTCACACCTCTAGGGTGCATTTCACACACGTATGTTTGTAAGTGAAAGGTAAGACCAGGCCAGGACTGAGGCCGGCTTGTCTGAGAATGTCCTCCACATCACTAATTTTTGGTAGTTGAGCATGATGATGACTGTGGGAAGCTGTATCTCCTTCGTTGGATGGAGAGGACTGTCCGCGGACGGGAAGCCCTGAGGTGGCTTGCAGGCCTTGGGTAGACAAGACTGGAATGACGGCAAGATCAGCCGGGTTCAAAGCTAAGTTTCTTTGTGCTGAGGTAACACCCACACACCACGTCTATACAGCTTGTGACTATACTGCACAACCTGAATCTGTGGAGGGAGAAGGAACCTATGTGCTTGGTCACCTGCTGGCCTCCCGGTGAAGGCTGCTGCCCTGCTTGCCTTTGATCCTGTATTTTCCTACGGTCAACAGAATCAGACTGCGGTCTACTTGCTCGGTGAGTCTGGTAACTAACCTGGACCTGAAACAGCATCAGTGCCAACCAGTTGCTGAGCACCTGCAACTGAGCCTCTCCGTATCACAGCAGGTCCACGTGCCAGATTTCATCTCTGACTTGTTTTCACTCTGTTCCCGCATCCATGACAGGACTATAGATAGAGCTATCAAAAAAAAAGTCCCTGGGAACTGGGGCTGGTGATGGAGCGCTTGCCTGGTATTCAGGAAGCCCAGAAGCCAGGAGTGGAAACTCACACCTGTAACCCCAGCACCCAGGAGGTGGATGCAGGAGGATTGTTCTTCCACACTGAGTGAGTTCAGGGCCAACCAGGGACACAAGGCACCTTGACTCAAGATGTATTCTGGGAACTATTCTCCGCTTCTTTCTTCTTCTCTTCCTTCCACTGTGGTGCTCATCTCTACTCTGCATGTCCTCTGTTACTTTGCCCTAATTTTTTTTACATCTCAATAATTTATACACTTTCCTAATCCCTGTGTGTGCACATATGTGTGCAGGTATCCAGAGGCCAGAAGAGGACATTAGATCACCTTGGGAGGGCTTGGGAGGAGGAAAGAGAAGGGGAAAGTGATGCAATTACATCTTAATAAAATGTATAAAAATTTTCAAAAGGAACTAATACTAAAATATTAACCAAAAAATTTAAAAGGTAAGTGAAAAAATATTTTTGTTAAAAAAAAAACCAAACTGTCTTGTATAAGAGAAGATAATGCTGACATAAACTCTTAACAGCATATTTCACAGAATTACACAGGTAATTCTAAAAGGCACACAGCAGGGGAAGAGTCCCCCTACAAGCCATCAAACAAGCAAAGAACAAAAACAGTCCCCAACACGAGGAGTCACTGTAAAGGTGGAATAACTGTGACAAGGGACAGACAGGAGAGCAGGAAACTCCTACCAAAGTGGCTTCACATGGCAGAGAGGACAGGGTGACATCTTCAGGAACTGTGCTGAGAAAATGGCGGGTGATGTGGTTCTGTACGCTGTGAATATGAGTTGCTCTGATTGGTTGACAAATAAAGCTGTTTGGCCAATGGCGAGGCAGAATAGGGTTGGGCAGGACATTCCAACTAGAGAGAGAGGAGGGAAAAAGACAGAGCAGAGGAGACATGTAACGGGACACAGGTAGAGCCATGGGACATGTGACGACACATAGATTAATCGTTATGGGCTAATTTAAGATATAGAGGTAGCCAGCAAAAGGCTTGAGCCATGGCCATGCAGTTATAATTAATATACGCCTCTGTGTGTTCACTTGGAGGACACAAGTGGGAGAGATTTGCTCCGACCACTAGCCAGCCAGGACACAGGAAATCTTCCGACTATAAGAAAATATCTACTTGAGATAGAATGAAGTTAGGTATCTCTAAATACCTTTCATAAATACCAATTCCATGTCAATTGATGGTCAAGTTAAGAAGAAAATTTCTAAATCTAGGAGGAAAGTGCAGAATATTTTTGACTTTACTGTTAAAAAGATACAGTAAGCTGGGCACTGGTGGCACACGCCTTTAATCCCAGCACTTGGGAGGCAGAGGCAGGTGGATCTCTGTGAATTTGAGGCCAGCCTGGTCTACAGAGCAAGATCCAGGACAGCCAGGGCCACACAGAGGAACATTGCCTTAAAAAACAAAACAGCCGGGCAGTGGTGGCGCACGCCTTTAATCCCAGCACTCGGGAGGCAGAGGCAGGCGGATCTCTGTGAGTTCGAGGCCAGCCTGGTCTCCAAAGCGAGTTCCAGGAAAGGCGCAAAGCTACACAGAGAAACCCTGTCTCGAAAAACCAAAAACAAAACAAAACAAAACAAAACAAAACAAAACAAACAAACAAAAACAAAACAAAACCAAAAGGTGTAGTAGTCATGAATCCTAGGAAAAATATTACTAAGCTTGATTTTTTGCTAAAATATAAAACTGGATAAAATAAACATTAACCTAATACTTTCTTTTGTTTTGTTTTTGACCATGGACTAGGAGGAGGAGGAGGAGGATATTTTCATGGCTTGAGATTTTTATTTAGAAAAGTTTGTATACAGAAACCAGTGACAAGAAAGCCATGGAACCTCTCCTGGCAGCCCTGAAGAAGACAGCACAACTGAGAGGGACTAAAACGTGAAGAATTCACATATGAAAGAGGCAACAAAAAGAAAAAATGATGTGGGATTGTATCAGTATTTAAAGATGGGGTGCGGGGGCGGGGGTGGGGTGGGGAGTCATACAGCTTTAGACCTAGTCAACCGGAAAAACTGAATGGTACTTCTGCATCCTGTGTTAATCAGAGTATGGAATATGGATCAAGAGAAAGTCTCATGCATTGTGGAAGGAGTACTATGTGCTATTATTAGTTATTATTAGTAGTGTCACCGAGTGTATGATGGGCGCACATGATAGCATGCAAGTGGAGATTAGAAGTCTGCTTTATGGAGTCAGCTGTTTCCTTCGACTGTGGTCTGGGGATCGAACTCAGGACAGTGAGCTTGTGTAACGGTGATTGTATTTTCTAACCTACCTCACCAGCCCCAAGAGTACTACTGATTTCTATAACCATTTTGGAGAACAATTCGGCGAAATTTCCAGTTAATTTAAAAATAAGTATTCTGGTAATTTCCACCCAGAAATCACAACTCTTGTCATGTCCTAGAGAAATACTAGCAAATGTGCACAACGAAGTTAAAGCAGGAACATTCACCAAGGACTTTTACGCTGTAATAGAAAAGAATTATAGGCAATTTGAATGTTTCATCAACATTTCCAGTTTATGGTATAATATACAATAGACTCTCAATGCAGTTAAAATTAATGATCTAGAGCTAAACATATCAACACGAATAAATCTCAGAAACATTATGTTAAGAGATTAAAACAAATGGCGGAAGAATGTATGGGGCACTTTTCCAGTTTTAGTGGTTGAAACTATAGAAAACAGCAGGTACATATGTATGTGTGTGGCTGTGGTCTTGAAAGTCCACAAGCGTAAAGTCTAATTTAGGAAGGTGATTTTCTCTAGGTAATGGCGTGACATAAAACCTAGGAAGAATGGCCAGGGACTGTATCTGTGACGATTTATGTTTATGACGGTGATGGCTGTTCGAAGGAGCTGTGGTGGTGTTCGATTTTAATTAAGTAAACATTGCAAATGCTTTACTTACTAAAACTCGGTTCCCATACACTTTTCATCACTTCACACTTTAGAATGTCCCCTGACAACTTCTCTAACTCAGGATTCAAATCGGGTTAACTTGGCTTTTCAGACGGGAACTTCCCTGGCTTGCTTCAACACCGACAAAGGGATTGCAAAACTTCACTCACCAATTCCTCGGATGGCTTTTCGGATAGCTTCGGCATCCACTGCTGGGCTAAAGCCTGGATAATCTTTTATGGTTCCTCGAGGTCCAACCTAGAGGGAAGGTTCCATTAGTTCAGAACCACACCTTTATTTATATTACATTAAAACATAGTCGACTAAATGTTTATCTCACGTGGTCATAACTGAAATTATCTGGAAGTGTTTATGTTTTTAAAAATTCAACTTGTATTTTAAAAACAGTGGGAAGGAGTCACACCATAACAACAGGGCCCATGTAGGAGGTTTATTGAGGGGAGAGGAGAGAAGGTTACAGAAGCAGGCAGAGACTGGTCTCTGGGGATGAAAGTGAAGGAAGAGAAGAGAAGAGGAGAGAGAGAGAGAGAGAGAGAGAGAGAGAGAGAGAGAGAGAGAGAGAGAGAGAGGGAGGGAGGGAGGGAGGGAGGGAGGGAGGGAGGGAGGGAGGGAGGGAGGGAGGGAGGGAGGGAGGGAGGAGGAGAGAGAGGAGAGGTGTACAAGGCCCGCCTTTTATACGGAAATGTCGAAAGCGCACAGGGGGCGCTCTTAGCGGCTGCAGCTGAGGCATATCCTGCCAGGACCTTAAGGGCAGACCAGTACAGATGCCTAGATGCTAACACCACTGCACCCAGAGGCTCAGTGTGTAACTAAATAATTGCTCTTGGTCAACAGGAAACCCAGAGCCTGAACACAGCCCACAGGCAGCATGCTCAGAGGTATTGCAGTGGCACGGTTCAGGGAAGATCCCAGAGGCTTGTGTTGGCATATTGAAGTACCGGAGCTAATGCTTTTTATATTGTTAGCGGTACACAGCAGAACACCTCCAGGTCCTCTGAAAGAGCAGCAGATGCTCTTAACTGCTGAGCCATCTCTCCAGCCCTAGTGTGCATCTGCGGCAGCCTGGCTTCCTGTGTTCCCGGCCCAGTGCAAGAGTTCGCCCTCCACCCCCAGACACACAGGCACCATGGCTTCTACTACATGTAGCAAGAGCCCTCCCAGGAGCCTGTTCTCTCTTGTGTAACAAACTGCACACACGAAACATTGCTTCTCTAGGGCAATGAGCTGTTTCAACACCAGTGACCCTGAAGAGTAGAGGCTTTAAGGTACCTGTATATAAACAATAAGAACACTTCATTTTTTCTTCATCCACTAGATTTCCCAGGGAGAATTCTCAATAAGCACCTCGTCACATCTTACACAGAAGCAGTTGTGGTTGGGAGGTTCTGGGATGGTTTAATTAATGTTGACCACTGTCCTTGAGGGACGCTACTCTAAAGAATTAATAAATGAAAACGCTATTAAGAATGTCGGTTCTTATGCTCTTCTTAACGGATGTGCGATTGTGGACCACAGCTTGCGTTTTCCCTGAGAACTCCAAGGACATCATGGAGCTTCAAGAATAGCATAGGCTTTTTTTTTTTTTAAATAGCCACATTACTAAGTTTAAGCACATAAATTAGTGGCATAAAACATGGCCATAAACTGGGAATAAACATGCTGCTAAAAGATTAAAATATTCTAAAATTGCTGAAGAAACCAGATGGCGGCCAAAAGGGTACCGAGAAAATTCCAAGTTCACATGTCCTTATATAGTATATTCCGACCTTTTAAATAAAAATCTGTGCTAATAGTAGTAACATTTAACATTTTCTTTTTAAACAGGGCTTCTACGCTCTTACTGAATGGTATTGACTGTGTTGTTATGAACTAATATGGTCACATTTACCCTCTTCTAAAGTGTCTGGTATTTTCATGAAAGGACATTATCTTGTCACATTAAAGTGAATGGAAAATTAATGTACTGGCACAGTAGAAAAGACAGCCTGCTGACTCAATAGATCAGATGGAACAATTTGTTTCAATGTTGTCAAACACTGTTTAAAGAACCCCAAATAAAAAATTTTAAGCTAACAAGTTAGAATGTGCCAGATCAAAAGACAATAGAGGCGATCTAATCAGTCACTTCAGCACAATCTTCAGAGAATTTTCTTCCCTCAGGGCTTAACAAGCTTTATAAATTGGCAGAGCCAATTGGCTTCAATTCCTTACTGTCCACTTCCACCGCTGAGCTCTTGTGTTCCCTCATCCACCCACCTCTGGTGTCTGACGTTCTAGAAGGACCACACAAGTGCCCGATGCTAGGCACCTTACACGTGTTAAGTACAATCTACACAGCCCGGATTCTAAGCATGATCATCTCTGCATAAATGGCATCAGGTCTTAAGGAGACTGCAAAATTTGCTTCCATGCACTCAGCTAGTTAAGCCACAGATCTGAGTTTGCAAGTAGTCTTTTCTGTTCTAAATCATCCTTTGCATTTCTTGAAATATGTCTCTGCATCTCCCGAGGTGACATTTTAAAATGCATGTGACCGTGCCCTAGATCCAGTGAATTTTATTTGTAGGAACCAGGTGCTTATGAAGCTCTATTTGTGTGATTCTATGCCATGAAGATGCTTAACATGGCTACTTCTGAATACAAGAAGACAATGTTATGGCTGAATTCTGAGTGTTCATGTATCACAAAGATTCAGGGTTTACACTCTAGATGTGACCTCTACAAAATTAGATGAGGATAAAATTCCTAACACAGCATGCAACCCTTTTTCTAGTGAGAGTTAGGTGGAGAGGAATGCCTTAGATAATAAAAAGGATTCCTTTCCTTCTCCCTCTCCCTCTCCAACATACATACACATATATGAACTTGAAAGAAGACTTGGAAATCTGATTTTTATTTAGTTGTTTATTTTGCTGTGTGGGAAGCAAACCCCAGGGCCTCATATATCACAATCAAGTGCATTACCACTGAGCCAAAGCTAGACCCCAGAGCATGGGAGTTCTGAAGTAGAATTCTAGTGAAATATTGAAAGGTGTTTTAGTTACTTAAATGAGTAATATTGTACACTTGGTAAGACTTGGTTATTTAGGCCACTCAGAAATATTTGTATGATTTATAGAAACGCACTGTAAAATAAATACCAGACTCATTTTGTTTATTAATACATGCTAGATAATGAACAAAAGACCTTACAAACATGTTAAATCTCTTCAGTGATCTTAATGAGGTAGATTTGATGATTTCCATTTTAAAAAAGCGTTGGAGAGCTAGCACAGCAGTTAAGAGCACTTGCTCTTCCAGAGGATCCAAGTTCAGTTCCCAGGGTATAAATCAGATGGCTCATAAACGTCTAGTTCCAGGGGATCAATACCACTGGCCTCCACAGGCACCTGCACTTGTGTCCACACACCCACATGCACACACACACACACACACCCACACACCTACACATAACTACAAATAACAATACATGAAGTGCTCAATCTCAGAGGGACTGTTTCACAGAACATTGTTGATAAGAAAGGTGCCTGGGTTTAAAGCCACCTCCAAATGTCCTATGTTCTACAGAGCTTTGCCTGGGCTGGCGGGGGGTGGGTGGATGGGTGGGAACACTATCTCAATGGTCCTCAAAATGGGTTTCTGGATCAACTCTATGGTAGTCTCCTGGAATTTACAGAGATGTAGATTCTCACTCCATAGCCCACTCTCACAGCGTCCACACTATGGCGTAGGATTCAGCATCTGGTTTAACAAGACACCCCCCCCCCCCGCCCGCCCGGTGATTTTAATGGACAATCAAGTGGCATAATCAACATTTTGTTTCATTCTCAGCTGCCTGGAAAAAGAGAATAAAGTCAGCAAGCAAGCCTTGGGTTCCGGACGGGTGTGGAAGCTGAGGAATTGAATAGTGAAGTGTTGTTTTAGGAATGTTGGTGTTTACAGCCTAAGCTATTGTGATTGCCTCCTGTTTCACTGAAGCCTTAGCATCCTGCCAGGCAAATCATTAATTGGTTCTTGGTTGCAGTCACTTTCCTGGTACCTAACATAGCCAGTGATAATGTCCAACATCCCATGAACACTTGGCTAAAGCCATTTTTCAAAATCGTGCTTGATCAGAGTTCCGTCTACTTTCTTATGCATATTTAGCTTCTTCCCTTTTCTCAAACTTGACCTTTAGATGCTCTCAAAAGAAAAATGATGCTGAAATCCACTGAGAAATACAGTAATGAAAAGAATAAAGTGAGAAAATAATAGGAATTCTTTATAATAAGGACAGTTAGTTGCTATGTGCCTAGAGCTGTGCTAGGAACATTGTCAGTCCCCACGATAAACATATAAAGCAGACACTTAAATCCTATGCCTGGATGAAGAAAGGGATGCTTAGGACTCTTGCCCAAGTTCACACAACCAGAGACTAGTCCATCCCGTTATTCTTTTCTTCAACTTACCAGTCTAGACTAACACCTCCTTTGAATCTACCTTATGCCAGTTGATCATCTAAAACTATCCTTTGGCTAGCCACAGAGCATGGTGCCCTGAAGCCACCGCCATAGCCAAATTGCACCCAGGGTGTTGTCTGCTGTTACCTTGGTTGGCCAGTCTGTCCTTGTCTCAGTAAACATGGCTGCACCTGTTTCTTCATGGAATGTTTACCAGGCTTGCAATCAATTGAACCTTTATAGGCAAAGGATGAATAAAAAAGAAACACGGGGTGTCAACTCTGTTGACACAAAACATATTTAGAGCCAAATGCTGCAGAGCAAAAAACGGCAGCAACTGCATGCACATTCTGAAGTGAGGTACAGCCCTATCACACATCACCTCATAAAGTCCCAGAAAAGCCAGAGCCGAAAATGAAACCTCAGAGACAACGCTAGGAATCAAGGGCTCTCAAAGAGCCAGGGAGAAATGATTACACTCTGCGCTCAATGTCAAGGCGCTGTGCTGGGTCATGAAGCTTTATGGTAGGCACAGGGGAAATGGAGCAGACTGTAAAAGTAAAGCAGCTCAAACTTGGAAAGTGTAAGACTTTTTGTTCAGTTCTTCCAGGAAGAAATGGTCTTTCAAAACCAAAGAAGGGTCCTAGAAGGGGCCCTGAAATAAAGTGTGGTCACATGAGGCAGGCAGAGACTTGGACTGCATCGTCCCTATGCCAAAGACCGAACCAGCAGCCCAAAGAATGTAACTGTGGTTGGATGCAAGGTCACTCCAAATGCCAGTGGTTGAGATAAAGTGCG